CAGGGGGCTGGACTAGAAGACCTCCAAGGTCCCTTCCAGCTTCTATTCTATTCTATTCCATATTCTATTCTATTCTATTCTATTCTATTCTATTCTATTCTATCCCATATTCTATTATATTCCATGTTCTGTTCTATTCTATTCTATTCTATTCTATTCTATTCTATTCTATTCTATTCTATTCTATTCTATATTCTATTCTATTCTATTCTATTCTATTCTATTTCAGTTTTCACTCTAAACTACAGGAGCCTATTAAACCTCCAGTGGAAAATGTAGTATTCATATCTGCACCACCCAACTCTCCGCGATTCTGGGTGCTTCACAAATTAAGCAATAAATAACACAGGGATTAAAATCCAAGATGTCCCCAAACCAGACCACCACCAATTGTAGTATACAATGGGAGACCCAAAATTGCAAACAACTTTTAAACCAAAGGATGGCCAGCTTGAGGCTCCCTGGGCAGCACGAGAGATAGATAGATAGATAGATAGATAGATAGATAGATAGATAGATAGATAGATAGATAGATAGATAGATAGATAGATAGATAGATAGATGATAGATAGATAGATAGATAGATAGATAGATAGAAGATATGATCGACAGATAGATAGATAGATAGATAGATAGATAGATAGATAGATAGATAGATATAGATATAGATATAGATATAGATAGATAGATAGATAGATAGATAGAGATAGATAGATAGATAGATAGATAGAGAGAGAGAGAGAGAGAGAGAGAGAGAGAGAGAGAGAGAGAGAGAGAGAGAGAGAGAGAGGGAGAGAGAGAGAGAGAGGGGGAGAGAGAGAGAGAGAGAGAGGGAGGGAGAGAGAGAGAGTCTGTAACATTTGATCCTCATAACCAAACAGTGAAAAGAAAAACTCACTTCCTGAAAGGGCAATTCAATTGCTTTTGTCCTCATGTCGACTTTGGTAAGACTGTCCGTGCAGGGCAGAATGAAATAAACCCCTTTGGGAAAAGAAATGACATCGCCATCAAAATAAAAACTACGCATCCACTTCAAACCCACAAAACAAATCAACCACACGGTGAAGGAAACATCTCAGGGTGCCTCGTCCTTCTTGTTAGCTCTAAGAAAACCCGTCAACTGGGACTTTGCAGACTGAAAAACATGAGCAGCTTATAGGGCCTATGAGGGCCCTGTTTCTCAACCTTAGCCACTTTAAGATAGGTGGACTTCAATTCCCACAATTCCCCCCGGCTGGCTGGCTGGGGAATTCTGGGAGTTGAAGTCCACCTATCTTAAAGTCACCAAAATCGTGGAATGTTGCTAATTTCACCCACCCTCGGAAAAAATAAAAGAGAGGCATTCTAAAATAAAATAAAAAGTTAAAATATCCGCACCATGCCCCCAAAAGGGGAGGAAGGATTAACTGTGAGAATTTAGCCCAATGCACACCAAGGCTTCCTACGAACTCCTCACCTGGCCCTTTTCCGACATTTTTCCGTGCATGTCCGAACCTCATGATGACCGGTTCTTCGTATTCGGTAACAACCTGAAACAAGGTTGCACTTTTCAGCCTAATTTTGCACTTTTCAGCCTAATTTTGTACTCCATTTGTAACATCCCAAACAGAAACATAACACAGGGCA